AGCCAGCATTATTAAAAAAAGAGGAGTTATTTGAAGGAACGCTGCTGGTGCGACAGGAGCGAATTGTGATCCCTCAGCTACAATATAGAGCCAATTTAATTCTTTTTTTTTCTTTTATGTGCCATATCACTTCAGGACATGGATGATGATGGTTCTCCACAACTTCCCATTTTTTATTGCTCTAAGTAACTTTTGAATCTTTGCAACGCCTTTTTGGCCATGTTCTGCCATCCATTCACACAATCTTATTAAGTGGCACCAAGTTTTCACATTTTACTTTCAGGACATAGGTGATGATGGTTCTCCACAACTTCTTCTTCTCAGCTCAACATAACTGTTCCCTCTTTACCATCACTTTTTGTCCTTGTTCTGCCATCCATTATTACAAACTTCATAGCAACTATTTCATCTGCTTCTCTTCTCTTCACTATGACTTGTGAGTCTTAGATTCTCTTGGCCCTCTTTCCTCATTATGTGTCCCAGAAATTTTAAATATCTCTTATTCTTAAAACTTAATAATAAAGTAAAACTTGTCTGAAAGATGGATGTTTGAGGACCATGAAATAAATTATAACCTTACCTGATCGATTTTTAAGGTTTTTGTATTCATTATCATATTGCTCAGTTCTTACATTTCTCTTTGAATTTATATCCTCCTTGGAATTATCCCTATTAATCGTCAAGTGATATATAGTACATACTCACCACACACCTATGCACTCACCACACACATGCTACATATTCACTTCTCCCCAAGCAAGGCAGTAATGACACTGTGACACAAGGGGCTAATGGGAGAGAAAGAGAATATTTTAGAAGGCACTGGAAACACAATCCTAAACAGGAAACAAGGGATAAATCTCTAATTCTTTTCAAAAGACTGGGGAGGAGAGAGGACTGGGTGTCTTTTAAAGAAGATAAAAGTAACGATTATCCTAGCATACTTGAAAGGGATTCATATTCACCAGAAATGACTTCTTTCACCCCAAGCAAGGCAATAAACTACTAAGATGCGAGGCATTGAAAGTGCTGTGTGTGTGATAGAATCTGAGAGGAAATATTTACTTTAGTTCTTTGCATCTTATACTGTGAGGCAAATGTGTTTACAAGTTTATTGTAGGAAAAAGCATCCACTAATCTGATTTTATTTGATACTGTTTTGTCTAGCACTTGATTTTCTAAAGACAAATTCTGATGATAAAGCACATCCTACCTGTACATTGAATAAAGTGTCTGCCACACAAACAGTTTTTCAAGGTGTCATATTACAGAGAGATAGAAAGAAGAATTTATGAGCATATTTTTCTCGATGTTTTTGGTTGCCTGTAGCAATGTCTTAAGAGGTGTAAATATGTCGGATGATGATGACGACTTGACACCCACTCATAGGTTCAAGAATTTGCCAAGGACAACTGGATTCTTGAAGGAACAACATGAAAAAATATTTACTGGAATTGGAATGAATCACTTCCAAAGATTTACTGATATCAAGAACATCTGACTTTTGTGATAAATTTCATAATAAAACTGCCAAATTCTGTGTGTGTGTATGCAAGTAAACATTTGCAGGGTGTCTCCAAAAATGTATATACAATTTGTTTTTTCATTGGCTAATTTGTTTTCTGCAGCTTATCAACATTTGCAGGTTATTTAAAGCCAGTAAAATATTTTTAGTCTGTTCAATTTTTTTTTTGAAAGATAATAATGGTTTAGTGATACAAGTCTTACTAATTAACCCATAGCTGGGGTGATTCATGCCTTTCTCAAGAGTATTTGCACGTAAGTGAATATAAAGAACCCAACTGAGATTGGAACTCTGCTCTATTATTAACAATTCTGAGCCATTATCCATTACACCATCTAGGTACTGACCAGGCTTGGTGCTACTTAACTTTGGTGGTCATATGAGAACCAGTGTTTCAATGTGATATAGATGTAAACCCATTATACCACCCATACATCCAAGTTTACAGCACCTGGCATTCTCATGAGGTCACCCATCTAGGTACTGACTGCACTTGACATTGCTTAACTTCATTGATCGTAGGGTAATCAGTGTTTTAACATGATGTGGCTGTAAGTCCATCATATCACTCATATAGCCAAGCTTACAGCAGCTAGTATTCCCAAGCAGTCACCCATCTAGATAGTGACCAGGATTAATATTGCTTAATGTTGTTGATCATACAGGAACCAGTGTTCCAATGTGATATGGCTGTAACTTAAGAACATCTGACTTTTGTGATAAAGTTCCGAAAACTTATATGGACTTTGTTAATATAATCTGTATCTCATTATAAGACTTTTTGTAATCAGTTTTGATGTCTTGACATCATTGCCTTAAGAAATTATGGGTTCCTTTGTAATAAAGATAGCACTGATGTGGGATATATGAATCAGCAGATTCCTTTTACTCCTTTATGCATGTTAGAAGCCTTTAACTTGTCTTCATGTTTGATTTGGATATTTCGTATGGGTTTTACCTGACTAGCCTTCCATGAGCTGTAAGATACAACAGATGTTTAGCTCCAGAATAAGTGAGGATACTACTTACTAATATTAATTATTCATTATGAGGGCACATTCAGTATTCATTATGAGGGAACATTCAGTATTCATTATGAGAACGCATTCAGTATTCATGAGAACGCATTCAGTATTTATTATGAGGGCACATTCAGTATTCATTATGAGGGCACATTCAGTATTCATTATGAGAACACATTCAGTATTCATGAGAATGCATTCAGTATTTATTATGAGGGCACATTCAGTATTCATTATGAGGGCACATTCAGTATTCATTATGAGGGCACATTTAGTATTCATTATGAGAACGCATTCAGTATTCATTATGAGAACGCATTCAGTATTCATTATGAGGGCACATTCAGTATTCATTATGAGGGCACATTCAGTATTCATTATGAGAACGCATTCAGTATTGATTATGAGAACGCATCAGTATTCATTATGAGAACGCATTCAGTATTCATTATGAGGGCACATTCAGTATTCATTATGAGAGATTCGCATTCATTATGAGAACGCATTTAGTATTCATTATGAGAACGCATTCAGTATTCATTATGAGAACGCATTCAGTATTCATTATGAGGGCACATTCAGTATTCATTATGAGAACGCATTCAGTATTCATTATGAGAACGCATTCAGTATTCATTATGAGAACGCATTCAGTATTCATTATGAGGGCACATTCAGTATTCATTATGAGGGCACATTCAATATTCATTATGAGAACGCATTTAGTATTCATTATGAGAACGCATTCAGTATTCATTAGGAGAACACATTCAGTATTCATTATGAGGGCACATTCATGAGAACGCATTTAGTATTTATTATGAGGGCACATTCAGTATTCATTATGAGAACACATTCAGTATTCATTATGAGAACGCATTCAGTATTCATTATGAGGGCACATTCAATATTCATTATGAGAACGCATTTAGTATTCATTATGAGAACGCATTCAGTATTCATTAGGAGAACACATTCAGTATTCATTATGAGGGCACATTCATGAGAACGCATTTAGTATTTATTATGATGGCACATTCAGTATTCATTATGAGAACACATTCAGTATTCATTATGAGGGCACATTCAATATTCATTATGAGAACGCATTTAGTATTCATTATGAGAACGCATTCAGTATTCATTAGGAGAACACATTCAGTATTCATTATGAGGGCACATTCATGAGAACGCATTTAGTATTTATTATGAGGGCACATTCAGTATTCATTATGAGAACACATTCAGTATTCATTATGAGAACGCATTCAGTATTCATTATGAGGGCACATTCAATATTCATTATGAGAACGCATTTAGTATTCATTATGAGAACGCATTCAGTATTCATTAGGAGAACACATTCAGTATTCATTATGAGGGCACATTCATGAGAACGCATTTAGTATTTATTATGAGGGCACATTCAGTATTCATTATGAGAACGCATTCAGTATTCATTATGAGGGCACATTCAATATTCATTATGAGAACGCATTTAGTATTCATTATGAGAACGCATTCAGTATTCATTAGGAGAACACATTCAGTATTCATTATGAGGGCACATTCATGAGAACGCATTTAGTATTTATTATGAGGGCACATTCAGTATTCATTATGAGAACGCATTCAGTATTCATTATGAGGGCACATTCAATATTCATTATGAGAACGCATTCAGTATTCATTATGAGAACGCATTCAGTATTCATTATGAGAACGCATTCAGTATCCATTATGAGGGCACATTCAATATTCATTATGAGAACGCATTCAGTATTCATTATGAGGGCACATTCATGAGAACGCATTTAGTATTTATTATGAGGGCACATTCAATATTCATTATGAGAACGCATTCAGTATTCATTATGAGAACGCATTCAGTATTAATTATGAGGGCACATTCAATATTCATTATGAGAACGCATTTAGTATTCATTATGAGAACGCATTCAGTATTCATTAGGAGAACACATTCAGTATTCATTATGAGGGCACATTCATGAGAACGCATTTAGTATTTATTATGAGGGCACATTCAATATTCATTATGAGAACGCATTCAGTATTCATTATGAGAACGCATTCAGTATTCATTATGAGAATGCATTCAGTATTCATTATGAGGGCACATTCAATATTCATTATGAGAACGCATTTAGTATTCATTATGAGAATGCATTCAGTATTCATTAGGAGGGCACATTCATGAGAACGCATTTAGTATTTATTATGAGGGCACATTCAGTATTCATTATGAGAACACATTCAGTATTCATTTTGAGGGCACATTTAGTATTCATTATGAGAACGCATTTAGTATTCATTATGAGAACGCATTTAGTATTCATTAACCAAACAGTCAGTGCCATGATTAGTTAAAATTTATAAAGCCTTTCTATTAAAACAAGTTTTCAGGAAAATAGTTTTCTCAGGCTCACTATAGGTCACATCACATCTAAACACTGGTTCCTGTATGAATACCAAAGTTAAGCAATGTCAAGCCTGGTCAGTACCTAGATGAGTGACCCCTTGGGAATACCAAGTGCTGTAAGCTTAGATGTATAGATGGTATAATGGGCTTATGACTATATCACATTGAAACACTGGCTCTCATATGATCACCAAAGTTAAGCAACATCAAGCCTGGTCAGTATCTAGATGGGTGACTTCTTGGGAATACCAGATGCTGTAAGCTTGGATTTACAATATAATAAGCTTATGGCTGTATTACATTAAAACATTGGTTCTCATATGATCACCAAAGTTAAGCAACATCAAACCTGGTTAGTACCTAGATGGGTGACTTGGGAATACCAGGTACTGTAAGCCCTGAATCCATCATAAAAATTCAGAATGTAGAATTAATAAACTCTAAACACCTCAAATACCTTGGTATATGGATCAACTATATCAAAATTTAGTATTGGAGATAAGGAAATTAAACACAGGTTGCATGCTAGATAGTTTTGTTCTACACTGAAATATTAACCTGAAAACTTGTCATATTTTAAATAGCCTCATTAGATCTAGACCCCTACATGGATCTCATGCATGGTGTTCATTCAGAAATGTCTAACCTATCAACTATATATAACTTAACCCCCTTTCGTGGAGATAAGTCATGTGGGTCACATGACAGCTGCTTAGGGATGTCACTCCATACAGTGAGGATAAAAGCAATCAAATTCAGTTTTGTTTACAGCCGCCAAACAGGTTTCTTTCTTTTTTTTTAGCCTAGGTCCCCATGATTCAGGCTGAGGTTAAATCTGCCTCCCCAGAAGCTTACAGGTCCATAGCACTGTTTCTATGATATAAAAAGAAACTCCAGCTCATTCTTCTTAGTTTGGGAAAACCCAAGACTTGCTGTTTCCCATTCATGGAATATGTCCTCACCTAGGACATAATAGATGAATCCGGCCCATTTGAATATGGAGTCCTAAAAATGGCTTCTCCAGGCAGACAACTATCTCTGTATTATATGTAATACCCTTCTTTTTTGTTTCTCCTTACACTCTGCTTTGCTGTGTAGATATATGTGATACATTATTCTCTGCGTGGGACACATTTGTTTGTGTATGTATAACTGTGTATTAAGGCAGCAATCCTTCAGTTATGCATGTTCCATTAAAAACGACAGATAAGGTAATACGATTAAGCTTTTTATTTAATTTTCTTGTGTCCTAACAATTTTTTTCTTTGAACACAGAATGTGTAGAAACTGTCCAAACGTTCTAAAATACCAAGCACTTTCAGCTATACTTTTAACCATTATCAAGGATGATTTTATTTTTTCATTTTAATTGGGTGTGTGTGTTGTGTGCATGTTTTTAGTGTCATAGAGATGTTTTATTTTCTGAACATAGCACATTGTGGCCGTGTTTGTAGTTAATATTATTAAGTGTAAACTTTTTCTTTTTTATTATTAGGGCTTTGATTAATTTTAATCTTTTTTACATGTGGATGAGATTATTATGCTTGTATTTTCTACTAGTATGTTTTGGATGGAGTGTGTATTTAAATGCATTCTAATTGAGCTGATCAAACTAAATCCATAAATAATTACATTGGTCACACAACTATATGCCTATCCAGAAACCTTACCTACCTGACCACAGCCTGCATGTCCAAAAAAGAAAACACTTGTTCAAACACAAGAAAAATGTAATAAAAAGCTTAATCATAGTACCTTGGCTGTTATTTTAATGAAATATATATATATATATATATATATATATATATATATATATATATATATAATTATTTATTTAAAAATTTTAATCTAACGCTACATAAGAGTTCTCATGTTTCAAAACAAGAGCCGCAAACTTCAATATAATTATTTGAATTAAATTGAATTAAAGTACCAAGCTCTGTTCCATCTTCTGAAGTTTTCAGCTCTTGTTTTGAAACATGAGAACTCTTATGTAGCGTTGGAATCATACTTTTAAATAAATAATTATATTTATGCTCTACTTTTGCATCGAGCACTATTTTTTAAAAATAATAACAAAAATATTAAAGAACTTTGGATTATTTATCTAACGAGTTCTTTCCTATTTTCTATATATTTTTAAACACACACACACAGACATATATATATATAATTTGCCTATGTCTTAGTAGTATAAAAGTTTCTCTGAGAACAAAGCATATTTGTCAATCCTTTTCCTTTCAACTATTCCATCTGTTTTTTATTATATGGCAGATACAATAATGCTCATAATGGGGAAAATACAATTGGGAGAATAATCTTTCTTCCAAGCACTCCTGTTACACAACCATTTTCTCAGATCAAGGATTAAAAATGGCTTCCATTGGATGAATCCTTTAGGTCTCAAAGAACAGAATCCTTCATCAGATCTTATAGACTAGCACTACTGAATCATAAACAAAGAATGTCACCTAATAACAGAAATATGCCACTTCAGGACTTTCAACAGAAGCAACAACTAAAATGAATAGCATATGTAACTAGAAGGGAAAATATTGATGTAACCAAAATATTGACATTCCACATTACCTTAAACAAAAGGTTAGGAAGGAAACTACAGTCAATACTAAAAAGAGTGATAACAGTGGACTTGAGAAGCCTATTTTCAACTGGCAGTAATGCTGACTGTTTAGTCAATGGATGCCAAACGTTTCCTGTAAGGAAATGGCTATTCTCACCATAACTGTTACCATAGCAATTACTAATTTGCACTTTCTCATCATTTTAGTTTGCTATCTGTTCTTGAGATAATCATGATTAAACAAAGATATTTTTGCAAAGGTGATAAACATGGACTCCTTGTAAGATCCAATTTGTCTTTGTCCTGTGAAATGTCTGAAGCAAATGTGACAAAACAATAAATTCCGGCAGTATATCCCAGGTCCAAAGAAATTGGTAAATATTTGTTCATTTGATGTTGATCCAGCTTCCAGGTAATACCACCTACACAACAACAACAGCAATTCTCCGAGGGAAAAGATCTGATTAATAAAAAGGTTCTTTGTCAGATTTAGTGGTTAGTTAAATTTCATGAAAGATGCACAGAAAAAAATTGGAAAAATGATTGCACAAAGATGCTCCTAGTGTGACTTTATCTAGACATATGCTATTTGTATTTATTTTTGTTTTTAGTTTTTTCTTCTTTATTTTTTGTCATTTAGGGTTTTTTCCTTTTTTCTTTTTTTCTTCTTTTTTCTCTTTTTGTTTTTTTTCCTCTTATTCTCTTTTGTATTTTTAGGTTTATCCATTTTTTCTCATTTTCTTCATTTTTTTTCTTCATATTTCTCTTTTTTCTCTTTTTCTTTTTTTGTATTTTTGGGTGTTTTTTTATTTTTTACTTTTTTTCTTTTTGTTTTTTTTCCCCTTTTCTTTTTTTTTTTGTATTTTTATGTTTTTCCTTTTTTTCTTTTTTATAATAAAGAACAAAAGCCTTTGCTATTCTGGGATTTGGGCAGTGGCTGATGGCTGGAATGCATTTAATTAATGAAAACTTATGTAAAAAATTATTCTCAATGTACCTCTGTTCAAAAATCATTTCTAGTGGTTTTATGTTGTCAGCTATAATAGACCCAGCAATATCATGTGACTAAGATAATGCTAATACTAGTGGTTAGTGTTTGAACCCAGATAAAAGCTTAGATGTAAATGCTGATTTTCAAAGCAAGCAGGCATGCAGATGGACCTCCATCATATAAAGCTGATATAGTATAATTATATTAACCCCTCTCTTTTTTCTTGTGCGATGCAATTAATATAATAGCGTAAATGTCTTCCGTAATGTATGTGAGCGATATACAAGGTCTGCCTGAAAAGTAACAGAACATCTGTTCTTCGACATAAGAGACATTGTCTACACTTCCTGCCACAGGGCCAGACAATGAATCAGCAAGTCTACAAAGAGATCCCATGGCGTTTACTTCCCTCAATGTACAAGAAGTGACAAGATTTGTGGCTGCTTCACCATGGCAATGCACCTGCTCACAACCCCCTGAGCATCTGGCAGTTCCTGACCAAGAAGAACATTTCCATACTGGAACAACCTCCCTATTCACCTGATCTTGCTCAATGTGACTTTTTTCTTTCCCCCCCCAAACTCAAGGAGGTCCATTTTGAAAGTGTGGAGGCCATCAAGGGTGTGTAACAATGAAGCTGAGTTGCATCCAAGAAGAATGCTTCCAGCATTGCATAGAAACATGGCCAAGAATGATGGAAAAGTGCATTAGACTCAAGGGGCATTACTTTGAAGGGGAAACCATATAGTTTGTTGTTTGGAATTTAAATTAATTGTTTTTGACACCAGTACCATTATTTTTCAGACAGACCTCATATATATTTATCATTTGAAAAATTATGTCAAGGTGGGAAAAGTTTTCATATGATGCATTTTGTTGTTTAGGATTTCATTGGACTAAATTGATTATCTTGAGGCAACTATACATGCACACATCAGAAAGGGGGACAGTGAGAATTTTAAATTAAATTTTTTTTATATGTTTGGTTTTCTTTCTCTTTTTGTCTATGTTTTCATCACTTTTGTTATTAAATATCACACATTGTGATATTAAAAGATCTTCCAAGAAAGTTGAAATGTTGTAAGAAGCTAGATGGGTGATCTAGCGATTAAATCACATTCTAAACATTTTTGTCTTAGTAAATTACTTTCTCTTTTAATTAGAGGAGCATTTATTAAATCAAAATGATAGCCAGACTCATTATAGTGAGAAACTAATGCATTTAGTATATTGTTTTATAAAAGATTCCTTTTGTGTTCATTTAATTTTTTATTTAAATTCCTTGAGGTTTCTCCTGTGTATTCCTTGTGGCAATTATTACAGGTGGTAGAGTAAATTCCTCCTTCAAGTTTTAGCTTATTATTTTGTATTAATTAAAATTATAAATTATATATATATAGTTAAACCTAGAGAGCCAGACAAACCTACCAAGGTTTCACCTAAGTGGATCGTCAGAGAGCCAGCCTTCCCTGATGATCCACTTAGGTGAAACCTTGGTAGGTTTATCTGGCTCTCTAGGTTTAACTAGGTCTGGTCTACTCATTGTATTGAGCACTTTATTTAGTTATTTTGGGTACTCACATTGGGGTTTTTTTCTTTGGGCCTTGAACTCGTATGCTGGACGATTATTTTCAGTTAACGTACTTATACTTATAAGATTTCTATTAATATATATATATATATATATATA